TCACATCTGCTCTGTGGAAGGGGGATGAGGGTGGAAAGCAGGCGGGAGGACAGTTACTTCAGCTCGGTGACAGCCACCGAGCTCCAGCTGTCAGCAGTGTGCCTGGGACACGGGCAGGCCAGGCTCCCCGAAACCAGGGACCGTCCATTTCCCAAGATGATATTGTTCTCTCTCTGTTTGCAACAAAGCGCCAGGTGGCCTGAAATTCTCAGGGTGTTTGGTGCCATCCCGTCAGAGCTCACCACCCATCCCAGTGGGATCACGTCGCCAAGGGGGGCAGTGAGCTGGGTGGGGGGGGGCGTGCAGCACCACCGTGTGTCGTTAGAGGTACAATGACCCACATCCTACAGAGGCCAGGGCCATTTAGGGGCAAAATCGTAACGATACAACCTGCTCTCTAAACTAGCCACCTGGTGATGGTGAGATGGCCGATGTCTGGCCCCTGTCATACCAGGTTAGCTCTCGGAAGGCAGGTCACGACTGAGCAACTAGCTGATACTTCTCCTGAGTACTTTCTGGAATATCTTTTTGCCTAGGGCTCGAGACATTCTCGAGAAACAAGATAAAAAGGAAACAGGAGCACGTTTCCTAAGGACTCAGTTAGTGGTGGCTTTCCATGTATCAACGGCCAGTGGGTCCACTTGTCAGGGATGACAGCGTGTCCGTTTTTCTGGACAGTTACTCAGCCTTGGATGATGGAATGCTTCCTTAGACGGAACGCTTTTTTCTGCACCCTCTGCTCTTCCCGGGAGGTAACCTCGCTCTGCTCAGCTCTAGTTGAGCTCCCACCACAACACACTGTAATTTCTTCTTTGTGTTATGTCGGAGGCCAGAAGTCCAGGAAAGCAAGAAGCCATCCTTTATTCCCTTTCGTGTTGCTGCACTGTGTCCTAATAGGTGCTAATTTAAAGTTGGGGAATCAGTCAATGGGTTTTTAAAATTTAAGGCTCTGTGTACCATCATCCTGTCTCGCCCTATGCCTGTTTAGACTCTGACAGCCTTTTCCGTCAGTGTGCCCGTGTTGGTGTGACTGATAAGGCAGAGAGACCCTCTAATATGCATTGTCACATCGGCACAAGTCACAGTGGCTTTTTTTATTCCTTGTCCAAACAGAGAGAAATGGAGTCGGTTTGGAATTATCCGTAACTACAGGACAGTTGTCGCGGGCAGGTGGCCTTCAGTGCGTTTATTTTAACAACCTGGATGGAAGAGCCGCCTTCTTGCGCTGGCCTGAGGGATGGCTGAGATAGGCTGTCTATCACAGGGCTTGGCCGTCCCTGCCACGCAGGACAGCTGGCTGTCACCGTGAGAGCCCGCGTCCACTGGCTGGAGAGTCGGGGTGTCTGTGCCACAGTCGGGTTGCAGGTATCGGTGCGATCAGGATCTCGGCTTTCCTTCACCCTCCTCCACAGAGGCAAGGGGTGGCCCCAACTACTGCCCATTTCAGCTTGACGGGACAACAGCGCCAATCGTGTTCCTACCCCGTTCCTCAGTTTAGAGGACGATTTAAAGTCATGCTCAGAAGAGAAAGTAATGTAAGTAGGAATGAAACGCATATGCAGCCACCCAACATGGAGCTCTGGATGGACAGAAGGAAGTGCGTGTCTTAGACCTTAGACCCACATCCCCAGGGATGGAGACAGGAGGGGCTAACGGCAGTGAGCTGTAGGAAGGAGGCATTATATTTGTGTGAATTGTATCTGCTAAGGACACACGCCAAGGGTATCTGTGTAACACAACAGAATTCGGGCAGGATTTCAGGAGACGCCGGTCCCATCATCCCAGTGTCCATGGTTGGGTACCAGTTCCAGGATGTAAGGGAGCCGCCCACAAGCAGCGACGGGATGGGGTCAGCACTGAAAAGATATGCAGGGCCACAGGGAGGACGGTTGACAACACGGCATGTTTAATCTGTATCTATAGAAAACATTTATAGAAGCTCTCTACTGGACGGATTATAGAAATACATTTAATATAGAATAGTGCACTTTCGTGTACTCACTGTGAAAATAGCACATTTATTTAGAGAGGGATTTTACGTCCACAGTTCTTGATGATGATTGGAAATAGACCCATTTCCTTCACTNCCCGTGTTGGTGTGACTGATAAGGCAGAGAGACCCTCTAATATGCATTGTCACATCGGCACAAGTCACAGTGGCTTTTTTTATTCCTTGTCCAAACAGAGAGAAATGGAGTCGGTTTGGAATTATCCGTAACTACAGGACAGTTGTCGCGGGCAGGTGGCCTTCAGTGCGTTTATTTTAACAACCTGGATGGAAGAGCCGCCTTCTTGCGCTGGCCTGAGGGATGGCTGAGATAGGCTGTCTATCACAGGGCTTGGCCGTCCCTGCCACGCAGGACAGCTGGCTGTCACCGTGAGAGCCCGCGTCCACTGGCTGGAGAGTCGGGGTGTCTGTGCCACAGTCGGGTTGCAGGTATCGGTGCGATCAGGATCTCGGCTTTCCTTCACCCTCCTCCACAGAGGCAAGGGGTGGCCCCAACTACTGCCCATTTCAGCTTGACGGGACAACAGCGCCAATCGTGTTCCTACCCCGTTCCTCAGTTTAGAGGACGATTTAAAGTCATGCTCAGAAGAGAAAGTAATGTAAGTAGGAATGAAACGCATATGCAGCCACCCAACATGGAGCTCTGGATGGACAGAAGGAAGTGCGTGTCTTAGACCTTAGACCCACATCCCCAGGGATGGAGACAGGAGGGGCTAACGGCAGTGAGCTGTAGGAAGGAGGCATTATATTTGTGTGAATTGTATCTGCTAAGGACACACGCCAAGGGTATCTGTGTAACACAACAGAATTCGGGCAGGATTTCAGGAGACGCCGGTCCCATCATCCCAGTGTCCATGGTTGGGTACCAGTTCCAGGATGTAAGGGAGCCGCCCACAAGCAGCGACGGGATGGGGTCAGCACTGAAAAGATATGCAGGGCCACAGGGAGGACGGTTGACAACACGGCATGTTTAATCTGTATCTATAGAAAACATTTATAGAAGCTCTCTACTGGACGGATTATAGAAATACATTTAATATAGAATAGTGCACTTTCGTGTACTCACTGTGAAAATAGCACATTTATTTAGAGAGGGATTTTACGTCCACAGTTCTTGATGATGATTGGAAATAGACCCATTTCCTTCACTTGCAGTAACTGTCACCAAGAAAAGTCACAGCGCCCATCATTTCCCATGATTCCTCAGCCAACGTCTCCTTTCTCACGGTATTTCCCAGAGTCGCCGAGAAAGTTCGCATCAGTAAAAGAGTCTAGAAAAAGCCCGCGTGTCCGCGGGACCCCGCCCCTACATCTGCCTGCACTCGTGTCGCGTGCACATGGCCTGTCGCTCGATCCGCCACGTGCCCTCCTCGTAGGTGCAGTGGCAGATGGTGCACTCGTCCGTTTTCACTTCTCGTCCAGCTGGGATGACAGCCGTCTCTGCGAAGCAGTTTGGACCTGAAATGCAGAAGCAGGTTTTGTATTACGTGTGGGCACAAATATGTTCTGTATTTAATGGGGCAGCTAGCTTTCCAGTGTATGTTTTATTCATCCCGTTTTATGAAGGGCAGTGGAAAAGTTATAATCTCAGAAATGCACAGCACTCCCACGTTTGTATCTGAGGTATAACCAATGTGATTTCAAATTTTGATGAGTGACAGCGCTGTGACTTTCACTAACAGGTTCTCCCACGGGGCCTCACACATAGGCCAAATCTGCGAGCACTTGATTTAATGAATTCTAAATAATCATAGGAAAACAAAAACAAAAACATAAGGAACCGTGACTTTCCAAGAGCCAGTCTCATTCTCCAAGGCACTTTTAGGAGAGCGATCTAAACAAGCTTGCTGCTTGAAACACCCCCAGCCCCGTGGGACGCCCACACACACCTCGTGGAGCAGGCCTCGGAGATCACTGGAGGCTCCTGAGGCGTGGCCGCTGACCAGCCCCTGGAACTGCTGCTTTGCGATGAGGCCAGAGAACTGGCCAGGTAAGAGCTCCCAGGAGACGCTGACGCTGCTGGCCGGGGACCACACTTAGAGAAGCCCGGTCTCGGCACGTTTCGGCGTCACATCTGGGACAGTCATCCCTGAGAACCGAGGACCCCTGCGATTCTGCAAAGGTGCCACACCCGCATTTTACATGAGGTCAAGGATACGAAGACGGGAGTGTCTGAAAGGCTTCCCGTAGAGCCGAGACACAGTTTTGATGTTGTGGCTCACAGACCTGATTCAGCCAGCACTGCCCGCTAACTTCCCCCTTACGAGGAGCCGCCGGGAGCCCTTGCAGCCTAACAGCCGACGTTGAACCTGAGCGACGGGCTCATAGTCTCCCTCCCTTCGCTTCTAAAGTCTGGGAATGTGCTCACTACCAAAACACGTTTAATTATAATGTATGAAATCATAAAAGAGATGGAAAACGTTCACCTACAAAATTTTAAAAAGCTAACTGAACTCATCAGAGCCCCAGGATAAAAACTGCCCTGTGTGTAACNTCCCTGAGAACCGAGGACCCCTGCGATTCTGCAAAGGTGCCACACCCGCATTTTACATGAGGTCAAGGATACGAAGACGGGAGTGTCTGAAAGGCTTCCGGTAGAGCCGAGACACAGTTTTGATGTTGTGGCTCACAGACCTGATTCAGCCAGCACTGCCCGCTAACTTCCCCCTTACGAGGAGCCGCCGGGAGCCCTTGCAGCCTAACAGCCGACGTTGAACCTGAGCGACGGGCTCATAGTCTCCCTCCCTTCGCTTCTAAAGTCTGGGAATGTGCTCACTACCAAAACACGTTTAATTATAATGTATGAAATCATAAAAGAGATGGAAAACGTTCACCTACAAAATTTTAAAAAGCTAACTGAACTCATCAGAGCCCCAGGATAAAAACTGCCCTGTGTGTAACTCGTGGGAGTGAGTTAAGCGGTGCTGCCTGCATGTCAGCCAAACACCACACTCAGGAAACAGCCGGGGCACACGGTCCGCCCCCTCCTGGAACTTTCTCCTTGTCCCCCACTCAACAGGGCCCAGGGTTCTTCCCTCGACCTCTGCCATTCTCCCTCGGACACCTCGAAGCATTACCGAGCTGCTCTGGGAACAGCCCTGAATCACAGTCCCATTGTATTTCCCTCCCGAGCACTAGTCCTGTATTTCCAGAGGGCAGCTGTCCACATGGCCTGCTGATCCCCCAGACCGAGGCCCACCGGGGCCCAGCGCCGCGTCTGTGTGGTCTGATGAGCTTTATTGGTGGCAAACTGACCCTCTTCCATCGGCTTTGGTGAATTGTAACACAGTAATGTGCTACACAACCACATTTTGGTCACCAACAGACAGCATAGATGACTGTGGTCCCATAAGATCATAATGGAGCTGAAAACCTGCCATCACCTACTGGCGTCCTAGCTGGGGTAACACAACACATGACTCACGTTTGGGGTGATGCCAGTGTAAACAAAGCCACGGCCTGCCCGTCGTATAAAAGAACAGGACATACATGACGCTTGATATTGACAATAAACTTCAGGTTTGTGTGTTTTCTATACTATGTTTTCCATCGTATTTTAGAGTGGACTCTTTCCACTCATAAAAGTGTGCTGCAGAGCAGCAGCCCACTCCGTCAGCGCTGCCT